ATAAATTTTGGTTTAAGCAGCACAACAATTTCTCTCACATGTCCTAGCCTTTGGTTTCATGTTCTTACTATCGAAGCTTAGTAAGTATTTAAGTGTTATCTCGGGAATATAAAGTCGATTGTTCGGATCGCTTTGTTGTGAAGGTTCCGAGAAAGTAGCGATAAAACCAATAGCGTTGATGTTTAAAACAATTGGTTTGTTTGAGTAACAAGAGATCTATGTATTATTGAAATAGATTTGGATATGTAATTTTGTATAGTGATAAACTTTTGTATAAATTTGTCAAACCCTTTTTTATCACATATCTAACTAGATGGTGTTAATTTGATTTGTGTGTTTAACACACACAAAAAAATGTAATTTAAAACCTAATCATTTATCCTAATTCTAATGCATTTTAATTAACCTACATAGCCTAATTTGAGTTAGTTGATTAATAATTTATTATTTTTGCTTATTGAACAAATTATCCCTATAAATTATACTAGTAATTTGGTTAAAAATGAATTTAAATTGCCAACTAACCTTGAATTTGTTATTTGCAAAACAAATATCATGTTATGTTATTTCATCAAATAACATGTTACTTAATCGAATCTCTCTCCATACACAACCTTCTAGGTTAGTTGAAAATCCTTCCACGTACAATGATTAAGGAATTTAATAATAAAGTTTAATTATGTCACTCAACTAACCAAATACTAATTAACAATCACATATATACATATGGACCTTACCAAACATATCTCTCATGAGTCATGGCCGAAGAAGAAGATCTTGAAGCAACTCCGTCGTCGTCACCGGAATATAAACCTTTACCGTCATCGAATCAAGATCGAAACGACGCCGTTCTGATCTCACGACGTCGTTTCATCATCTCAATATTTCTCATATCTTTTGCCTCCATCATCATCTACATCTTCTGGCCGTCAGATCCACGAATCAAGATCGTACGTGTCAAAATCTCCCACGTCCACGTTCATCGCCGTTTGGTTCCGACAATAGACATGACGTTGCTCGTTACGCTTCAGGTAACGAATGCTGACGTGTACTCTTTCGATTTCACGGCGCTTGACGTCGCGGTTGACTACAGAGGAAAGACGTTAGGTCACGTGAGTTCGGACGGTGGACACGTGACGGCTTTTGGTTCTTCTTTACTTGAAGCGGAGACGGAGCTTGACGGCGTTACGGTGTTTGCTGACGTCATTCACCTGATTCACGATTTGGCTAAAGGCTCCGTTGAATTTGACACCGTTACTGAGACTAACGGAAAACTTGGCGTTTTCTTCTTCCGTTTCCCTTTAAAGGTAAGGTTACTTTAACTCTCTAACTTTTACGCAATTATTCGGTTTAATCGTTAATTATTACAATTAATACTTCATACTTTTTACCATCATTTTAATTAAAATTCTCTAAATATTTTTGATTAACAGGCAAAAATTGCATGTGGGATTATGGTAGATACAGTAAATCAGACAATTTCTCGTCAAAGTTGTAGACCTGTCTAATCAAGATACATCATTTGAATTTTTTTTAAACCTTTTTAATTTAATTTCTAATGCAAGAAGAGATTAGAGTCACTAATATTCTTAGACGCTAATCAGATTTTTGAAAAAAATATCGGTTCACAATTAATCTAGAGAAAAATGAAAAAATGTTAATAAATTTGATATATCAATGTATGTTTTGGTTTCACGAAGCAAATGTAACAATCAAAACCACAAATAAGGTTCCACAGTTAAAATTATTTAAGAGACATAACAATAACACACATTGTGACACTAAACAACATTCGTTAGCAAAATGTTAATCACCTGAAAACTCTAAAAGAGTGGTTAGTACAAGTGAATCCTCCATCAATCATCAGATTATCTCCGCTTATATACCGCGATTCATCGCTCGCCAAAAACAGAACAGCGTTCGCGACATCATCAACCGTTAATTCGACACCTTTCAGATTCGCGTTTGCAGCCGCAAAACTCCTGAACCCGACGAATGCATCTTCGGTTCTCTCTTCCTCAGGCAAATGAGCCAAAGCGAGATTGGTTGCAACCGCATAAGGCGAAACACAGTTCACACGTATCCCGTGCTGTCCAAGCTCGGCTGCAACGCTCCTAGTCAAGCCTAGAACAGCGTGTTTGGAACCGACATAAGCGTGAGGACCAACGCCTCCCACCACACCACCCACGCTACATAACGAAACTATCGACCCTTTCTTCTCAGGGATCATTACACGAGCTGCGTGTTTCATCCCGAGGAAAGCTCCTTTCACATTCACATCAAAAGTCATTTCGAATTCACTCAAACTATTGTTACGAATATCAGAACACGGAGCTCCGCTTAGTCCAGCATTGTTGATAAGTATATCAAGCGTACCGAATCGCTTCACTACAAAATCAACCGCATTGCTAACATCGTCTTCTACTCTAACATCACCATGGATGAAACAAACCTCCACCGCCGTCTTCCCCGGCTCATCGGAAACCAGACTTTTACATACTTGACCTCCGAGATCATCTTGTAAATCGACAATGCAGACTTTAGCGCCGTGCTTGTGGAATAAACGAACAATGCTCTCTCCTATCCCTGTAGCTCCTCCAGTTATCAATGCTACTTTACCTAACAACCTATTCAAAACCAACCAAGTACTTAAAAAGATCGAATCGAATCGCGTAAACAATAGAGTAAGCTCATCATCAAATTCATCATTATAGCTTGATTGTACATCTCAAATCAAACTTAAAACTACAAATCTGAAGTTGAGATCTGAGAATCCCAGAATTTTTCATCGAGTAGATCACAAAATATGAGAATACCTTTGAGTAGGAAGAGAAGAAGATTCAGTGTTCGTTGACATAGCTTTTTGACTTCTTCAGATCTTCGTTCTACTAAACTCGATCTAACCCAGTTTTTGGATTCGTCGGTAAAAAAACCCTAATCCAGAGACGAATTTATCCTCCGGCGATCTCCGGAGGCAGAACAACTCTCGATCGTGAAATTGAAAAAGGTAGGAGATGGAATCACTGAGCCCTAATTCTCCTGAGATGGTAGATTTCAACTATTTCAC